GTGCGTGAGTGTGTCTGGCTTTGTCATATTACCTATCTTGGTTGGCTCTACTTGCTTCCTCCACAGAAAGAGAAATTGAAGCTTGCAGGGATGTTTTTGTTCATTCCTTTCAACAAGATTCTTCCCTCTAAAATGTGTCTGCAGTTGTGAGTCACCCAGTGCTTTGCTATGAAATGAGAATTCATTCACTGAATGCTAATGATATTCAAAAAAAAAAAAAAAAGACAGAGCGTGACAGAGCGAACACCTTGGATACCACTGAGAGAGTGATCCAGCCATTTGCATGAAAAATTCAATGCGTCTTCGCAGTGCAAAGCTTCCTCCTCCTCCGTGGAAGCACAGATGCTTGTCTGGGCAGAGACTAACTATGCTGTAGTGGACCAAATATGTATGTACAGTGATGGCCCTGAATGTGGAACTCCGCACCTCAGTGCATCCCTTTCTGCTTTCAAAAGCTGCCTGAAATGTTATGAATGTGTGGGCCCTGGTTGTGGGATGGCTTCTCAGCCCCTAGCCCAGGCTGAACTGTGTACATGCAATTAAATTACAGTGCCCAGTCTTACAACTTTTTGACAGCAGGCTGCACAATTTAGGGAAAGTGGATGAACTGGGATGTGCCTCTTGCCCTCCCCCAAGCTCCTTGCCGTCTTCCTCTGTCCTTCTGCTATCTGGGACGGTATGCCCCTGCCTTCACCATTGGCAGCTAGATGGTGTTCTTTGTCCTGCTGGCTTTAGTCAGGCAGACACTGGCAAGTGCATGTCATGTGGATTCCACCCGGCTTCTGCATAGCTCTGTCAAAATCCCATGGAAACCTTCCCTGTGCACTGTGGGGATGTCCAGTTGGTGCTCAACTGTACTGCTGTTTTTCCTGATCCTGGTCTCATTACAGGGCTGTCTGACTATAGAGAAAAATCTGAACGTGGGTCAACCTTAGTTGTATTTCCTCTTTTGGGCTCCATGTGTGGTATGCAACAAGGAAAGCTATTGTAACCCTTGACGGCCAGGGAGAGAGGAAGATCTCCTGGCTTTAAAATGCATTGTCGTTGGACTTCTCTGTTTGCTGCTGGAAAGCTGGTTTTCTGTGAGAGTAAATCCCAGAGGGAGCTGGCATGTGAAGTGGACACGAATACATTTATCACTCAACTCTGCAATTTATCACTTGGATGTCACCTCAGCACTGATAAATACGCTTGCTAGATGCTTTCACCAAAAATCCTGAACATGGCAGGGAAAAAAACTTGGTTGAGCAAAAGAAAAAAAAGAGAGAGAAACAGGAGACCAAACCTGCGGAGAACAAAAAAGGTCACTGTGCCTTTAAAAACCCCATGCTCTTCACTTCCCCCTGCCCACACCAGACATGGTAGGGGAACAATATCCCCACCAGCCTTCCCTAGCACAATGGAGTCCTGATCTGGATGACCCTGTCTGGTCCCCTCTCCCCCCAGACGGGCCAAAAATAACGGACTGTCCGGGTGAAAACCAGACACCTGGCATCCCTATGATAAACCTGTAAAGGTGTACTAACTGAAAATCTCATATTACAGATTTTTAAAAGTAACTAGGCTTTTGGGGTGCTGGATTTGAGATCTTTTAGAGGTGCCTGATATCCAGAGCATGGTTACAGTTTCTGAAAAGTTGGCCCTTTTCAAATGGTGCCTACAGCCCACAAAAGCACTGGCCACTTCTGAAACCTTGGCCTATGCATGTGTGTGTGTATATATGTGCCAAGATTCATTCTCTAATGTGTGAGCATCCGTAATATAGAGAATGTAAACAAAATAACTTTTCTTAGGGGTTGTGAGTGGGAGTGTATATAATCGCAGCACATAATATTGCATGGCTCTATACCGATCTAATTGTTTCCATCTGAAGATTGAAACTATGAATTATATCTTTGAGACCTTAGGGAACTTGCTCTCTTATTGCCTTAACTACAATTAAATATTTTCATCCTTAGGAACACCTGAGAAGTCTCTGTGGTTTGTAGTCTATCCTGTAACTCTTCTTTGGGCAAATTCAGATTAGGAGCTTTCTTCCTTTCAGGCTTTTACTTTTTATCTTGGGGAAGTTATCAGCTTTCACTGCCATGATTAAGATGCAAAGCTTTACTCTGGTTGGCAGGTCTGTCCGGGGTCGTGCTCCTTAAGTGACAGATTTACCTTGGCATGGCAGACTGGCAGGTGACTAGTTAAAGCCAGACTTCCCCTAGATTGTGAAGGGCGCTCAGGAGATCTGTTGAGCCTGAGTTTTTTTAAGGGGCTGGTTATAGGAATTCTTTTCTCCCGGTGCCCAGAAACAATGGTTAGTAGTCACATTTGTGATCTGCGATTTATTTACATCCCAGTCAGTTGTAGCTATTGCAGGGTGGGGCTTATGAATAAAAAAAAAAGAGGGGGGTGGTTGAGAAAGGGCTGATGACCAAATAAAGTGATCAGAATATGTGCTTGAAGATTGTGGAGAGCAGCCTATGGTGAGCACCGAGACTGGTGTTTATGGTTACCTTGCCCTTCCAAGCCCTGTGTGTCTGCTCATCCTCCTGTGGTGTGTTGGCAGAATGCTAGGTTGTCAGCTTGCTGAAGCTTTGCCCTGCTTGCTTGTATAATGGCTCGCATGAGGCGGTCTCAGTTTGAGACTGCAAGTGCCACCACCATAGAAATTCTAATTAATAAATGCAGAACTTGTTAGCTCCAGCCGATGTTTGAATATTCCAGGCATATCAAAATACCAGTGAAGTTTGTTGAAGGAGAGATGCCCCTCTGAATGGGATACTTGAACTGTTTTCCCAATAGTCTCAGCATTTCAGACTCAGTTTCTGTTTTGCCTAACTTCCAATCCTCTAGGCACATGAAATATATAAAAGAACAATAGCCAAAATGTGAGCACTAGCAAGCTCCACTCATGTAAGTACAACTGCTGGCGAGGGGGAATAGGGGGCTCTTCCAAACGGTGGACTTCATGCCCATTGTCTTCCCCTCAGAAGAATTTCTGCAAGGGGAACCTTCTGGGAGTCCTTCCAGCAGGTTGTCTCATGGGAAGAGCAATCAACTCTGAATCTCTCAAGCATATGCTGTAAAAATATAAGATAAAGAAAAGTAGCCAGCAGCAGTCCCTCAGGGGAATAAATTCTGGTGACATCTGTGGCAAGTGTTCAGAGTTTTTATAAAGGAAATGTACCGTGGGTTAGCTCTGATTTATTCATGGCACGTGGACATGTATTCTGGTTAGACTTACTAGGATTTAGTCAGGTGCCAATGAACCAGCCAGGGGTATGTGGAGAGATGTCTAGACAATTTGGAATTCTCATTTGTTTTTATTTCTCAGGAGGTTGCAAATGTTCTAAAATATGGCCTTGAAGTCAAGGCACTGGCCTAGAACTCAGGCCAGACCTACACTAAAAGGGGACTTTGAAGCAAGATACGCAGCTCCAGCTATGTTAATTATGTAGCTGGAGTTGATGTACCTTGCTTCGCATTTCCTCTCTGTTCCCACAGCAGGAGGGTGACAGGAGCCAGTGCTCTCACTGGCTTCCCTTATTCCTTGCACAAGCAGGAGTACCAGCAGGGGCACTCTGAGTTCGATTCAGCAAGTCTTAACTAGACTAGCTAAATCAAGCTCTGGAAGATCAGTCGTGGGAGCGGTGATCTTCTGTTCAGTGTAGACACGGCCTCAGCAAATCGGGTACAATTCCTGGATCTGCCACAGACTTACTGTGTAACCTTGGAGCAAGTCACATAATCTCAAAGTGCTTCAGTTCCCCTCCAGTAAAATGGGAATAATACTTTCTCTGCCTCACAGGTGTGTTGAGGTTACACTCACCAATAGTATGCTAAACCCCACACAGAATAATGTAAGACCGGAAGCTGGCAACAGACCCCTGATGCTGGCCGTGGGACTCCTTGACAGCTCCCTGACAACTCCTTGCTCCTAGCCATGGGGTTTTGAAGAGTATTGGCCTAATTCTTGCTCCCCATGAAGTCCATGATGAAACTCACATTGGAACAGCGTTAAGCCAGCTTGAGTTCTTTTGACGATCATTTCTCTCTTGTACCTAGAGAAGGGAAAAAACACGTAGCTAGTCTTGGAAGGAAAGTAGGAGCGACAGAAATAAATAAATAAAATAAATCCCCTTCTGATCAATTGCCCTTCTTCCTCCTCCAGACAAAGGCAGCTGAGCTACGTATTTCATTAATCTCAGAAATGTTTGTTAAACTAACTATTCTGTAAAAAATCAAATGCATGAGAGAGATGCTGGTACTGGCAACTCTTCTTACATGAGGCTCTTTCCAGTACAAGCTGGCTTTCCAACAGTCTTGCAGGCCATTAAGGTTTTGGGTGAACGAGGGTCTATTCAGTGTCATAGCCTGTCAGGGAAGGCAGCTCTGTCTTGGATAACAGGGAATTTTGGACAATGGCGGGTGAGTGGCATGAGCAAAGTGAGCACTGGGCAGGTTAGACTCTTGTCAGGACTGTAGAGTTTGAAAGCACACATGCATTTTATTGAAATTTACTAGCCCCTTGGTCCCGTTCCTCTGACCCCATTGCTGTCACCTGGCTGCACTGTCATGGGGAATGGAGACTGGCTTTCTGTTTTTTACAACTCATGCTAAAGAGAGCAAAGAAGGAGAAACTGACATGATTGGGAACAATGAGCGTGGGTTAGGAAAGGAAATGAATTCCAGTTTGGTCTCCAATGTGCAGGGTGTTCTCCATGTAACCAATGTCCTGAAGGCTTCATACACCTCACTTGCCTTCCTTAAGATTTGTGAGGGTATCTCTTGTTGGGTTAGGTACATATGCCTTTTTCACACCCCATATAAAGTTATTGTGGCCTGAGGAGTGTGTATACGTAAGAATATGCCATTTTCACAAAAGCTTTCTAGTTTAACCACTCAACCCGTTTGTTGCCAATGATGGATTTTCATGTCTGTTCCCAGATCAATAATTTCTTTTTCTTTTCTCCCTTTCCACATCTTTGTTGGGATGCTGGTGGAAATCGCAGAGCTCCCTGCTGAAGAAGGTAGGTGGAATTATATTGGCTCTACACTTGTGGGGGTTTTTTTAAACTCTTTACTTTGGGAACATGTCTGTTCTGGGAGGCTTAATGTGAGCTAGTGCAGTGGAGACTGTTGGGGAACTCACAATACTGGTGAGACTATGTTGAACTTCAGTGGGCTTCTCTGTAAACCCATGAAGAATGCCGCAGACCTAAGAACATCCTCATTTACATGAAGACAAAACAGACCCGTATGAGATGTTCTGTTATATTTAGCAGGTGAAAACAAGATGGATTCTCACTGTCAAGTGACACTGTCAAAAATCTTGAGCTGAAAAATTTACCTGGAAAACTTGTTGATGTACTTGTTGACTCTGGTTACAGCAAGTTTGGGTTTTAAAAAAATCCATTCTATAGAGGCATAAAAACCACAGCATCCCAAACCAGACCACTGCTCATCTACTATAATAGTAATAATTTAGACCAGGGATCTCCAAACCCCCAATTGCTGCATCACTCAGTCTTGCTCCTGTGGGGGACCAGAGCAGAAAGTAATATCAGCATTTTGTACATAACTCTACAGGTGTAAGAGACTACTCCCCCTTGAAGAGATTATAGTTAACATAGACAAGACAGCAGACGGTCGGAGTAGTCCTTTTATCGTAGGCGTGTGCATGGTGAGGCAGGTAGGAACTCAGGGAAGAGCAAGAGGGGAAGACGAGGTGGTGTGGTGGGAAACTAGGGGGAAGAGACAATACACTCAGGTCAGATTTTGACACTGAATGTTCTTCACGCTGCCCCGTGAAAGGTGAGTGTTACTGCTCCAGAAGTTAGAACAATGCATAGCTCTACAAGGGCAGGCCGGGACTCAGTTCCACTGAATGAAAAATCCTAGGGCTTTGCCAAGTGTGTGTGTGTCTCTTTTCTAACCCAGGGAAGCTCAGGTGCATTCATTTAGAGCTGTCCTGCACCAGGCCATTCAGTCTCCTAGCCACCTGCGATCACCACTAGGCAACACTGCCTTGTTTCTTGGCTGACGCCTTTCATCCTCGTTTGTTTTCCACTCTGGCCCTGGCATGGCTGTCTTTCCTGCTGGTGGAGCTTCGCCTGACCCAGTTAGGCGCCAGTATGGCTGCCACATGCTCATCCTTAATGCTGCGCTGGCAGTGGTATGACTTCTAATTCCGGACAGCATGTGCTTTACATTAGGCGTGTGGGTGAGCCCAATTGACTTCACTGGGGCTTAGCCATGTGTGTTAAGTGCTGTCCTCAATAGAGCTGCTTTTGTCAGTCAAGCCCACAGTTAGCAATGCCAGTAATTCTAGCCCAGGCATCTCTAGCCTCAAAGCAGAGCACCATGCCCTTGCACCCAACCAGGCTTAGGAGACTGAATTCGCCACGTTCGCTTTCAGTGCTTGTGCAGCCCTTACTGTGCTGTAACAGGGCTCAGAAAAGAGCGGGAGAGATTCACGGAGGTTAGGTCCATCAATGGCTATTCACCAGGATGGGCAGGGATGGTGTCCCTAGTCTCTGTTTGTCAGGGGCTGGGAATGGGTGTCTGGATCATTTGATGATTTCCTGGTGTGTTCCCTCCCTCTGGGGCACCTGGCATTGGCCAGTGGGCTAGATGGACCGTGGGTCTGAGCCAGTGTGGCCGTACTTATATGCTTTTTGTTTGGCAGGGAAGTCCCTCTGGGAGCTTGTTCTGGAACAGTTTGAAGATCTCCTTGTGCGCATTCTTCTCTTGGCCGCCTTTGTATCATTTGTGAGTATCCTCCTCTCTCCCTGTGCACTCCCCCAATGCACCGACCCCAGCCAGCCTGGCCTGTGCTCTAAAAGCAGCGGGAGTGGTTCATGCCCGCTCTGTGCGAATCACTGCAGCGGGACTGGAGCTGCGTCAGGGAAACCAGACTCGGGGAGTCTGTGCGGGTGAATGAAAAGTGCCCAGAAAGGAGGTCGGGGGGCAGCCCTAGCGGATTCACTGTCAGGCATCCTCCTTGGAACCAGAGGGTCATCCGCAGCAAGATCTGCTGCTGCTTCAAAGCTTGCAGCAGCAGACCTGAGGCCGGAGGGCTGGGGAGCACAGGAGTCTTACCTCAGTCTGTGTTTGCTGTGCCAAGCCTGCCATAATTTAGGGACTGAAAGTGACCCAAAGGAAGGTGCGGGTAGACTGAGTCCCATACTTTAATCAGAACAGGGATGTGGGATGCTGAGTGATCCTACAAAGTAGCAATACCAGCCGTGCGGCAGCTAATTTTGCAGATAACTGACAATAGCCTGCACGTCGCTTTGATATTAGGGAATATTGAACAAGCCACTTCTTATCCCCAAAATGTCCTAGGTTCTTTAAATGTCACATAGAATTCTACTAGAGGTGGACTGAGGAGGGTCTCATATGTACAAGCGCTACTGAGTGAGCCACATGTTAGATGTTCAAAGCCAACCCCAATGAAATCCACCAAATTAGAAACCCTACAGCATCTCTGCAGCTTCCCCTTTGCCATTGCCAGACTCTCCTATTGTATTCTATGACAATTTGGCAGATGTAATCCTTTGATCCAGAGAGTTCACGTGGAAAAATGCACGTCAGGCTTCTAAAAAGTGGCCGCTGTTTAGCTGCAGACGTTTCACGCTGTGTTGTAATTAAGTTCCTTCCAAACTGGTTCAATAACTGCCGAGTTAGAAGACTGTGAGCTTATTCATTTAACGTGTACCTGTGGTTCTCTAGCTAGTTCCTGCAGAATAGACAGGACAGTCTAGTGGGTAGGGCACTTCACTGGGCGTCAGGAAACAAGGGCTATTTACCCGGCTCAGCCTGCAGATAAAGCACTTCACCTTGACAGTCATTCATTTTAGGACCAGATCAGACAGCTGTGATCATCGACTCTGACCACCTGCATAAACTTCCCTTAATTAATTCCTGCTTCAAGTCCTGGTAGTTTGGACTCAAGAATATCTTTTAGAAAAACACACTATCTTGATTTTTCAAATATCCAGCGATGGAGGCTTCACTAAGGATGTCAGAGTTTAATCGATTAAGCGGTTAACCAATAAGCACTAGCTTCTCAGTTAACCTTACCGGTTAAACTCCTGGTTGACGCCAGCAGCCCGCAGGTCCAGCAATCTGCAGAGAGTTTAACCATATAACCAATTGAAATTCAGTTGCTTACATGGTTAGTGGCTTTTTTTTGGAATTTTTACACCCACAGACTCCACTACAATCCTTGCTAAATCATTCCAGTGATTATTTGTCCTCACTATTAAATAATTGTGCCAGATTTTTAGTTTGAACATTGTTAGCTTCAGCTCACACCTGCTGGATCTTTTTATGCCTTTCTCTGTGACAGTCAAGAGCCCTCTGCTATCAAATTGCTGTTCTTTCTGTGGACATTTATACACTGTGATCGAGTCGGTCCCAGTTGGTATTGAGACCACATTGTGTTAGATGCTGTACTGGCAAAATGAAAAACAGCGCCTGCCCCAAGCGTCTGCAGTCTCAACTGGTGTGAAATTCAGGAAATGTAGTTATTGAGTGTGAACGCAGCACAAAAGATCTATGGTCAGTCGGAATCTTAATAGGACTTCAAAAATCCATGTGATGGGGGAGTCAGAGCAGAACGTCTTTCAAGTTGCTCAGAAAGTTAAGCTTGTTCCCCACCCCCCCACATCAGGAGTATATATGAGCTGCTCTGATGGGTGAGCATAGCTGGCAAAGCGGTATGTTTATTTTACCATGTGAATGTAAAATTCATAGACAAGCATGTTTTGGTAGGAGTTGAGCAAGAGTAAAGGAGCACAGGATGTGCGTATAAAGTCGGAGGCAAAGCTGCAACCAAAGGAAAGTTCATGTACAAAGAGACAGAGGTGACAGGAATAGATGTGGTAGTTTTCTGTGGCCGCTGCAGAGATTCTGCATTCTCTCAAGTCCATATTTAGCAAAGCATTTAAGCATATCCTCATTGTATGTGCATAAGTGCTTTGCTGATTTGGGGCTGGAGCAGCCTGTCCCTGAAGTCATTTGAGCAATCTTAGCTTTGAGCCATTGAGGCTGTGTCTACACTGCCAGGTTTTTTTGGAAAAAGATATGCAAATCAATTTGTATATCTTTTTCTGATTCTTTTTTCAGAAGAGGATTTCCTGACATTTGGCCCATCTACATTGGGAACATCCCTTCTTCCTTGTAAAACGAGGTTTACAGGGATGCTGAAAAAACGCGTCTGCTTTTCTGAAATTTTTTTTGGAAAAGCGGACGGGTTCCTTGGACACTTTCCCGGTATCGTGGAAAAACTCTGCAGTCTAGACATAGCCAGAGTCTTAACACTTTGCCTCTTCATTGTTATCTTTTAATAGTCTCTTTTCCATTAAAAATTCCTTTTGCAGGTTGTTAGCCTCGTAGCCTGTGCAGAAGGCTAAGGCAGAAAACACAGATACTCCTGTCATGTGTACAGATTTCCCCCTCGTTTCTGGTCAAAAGTTCCAAGTTGCCAAATACAATCTTATGGTCTTTTCATGCAGCATCTCCCATTGGGCCCAAGTGGTGCTTAGCAGGTGATGTTCTGCTGGGAGACTTGTCAGAATTAGGGGTGTAAGAGGTAGTTTTAAAATGTAACTGTATAATCCCTAGCAGTTGCACGCACTGCAGGCTTTGCAGCATAAAGCTTACATATGAGAGTCTGCACCAAAGCCTCCCTAAGAGCAGGGTTGGCAGCGCCTACGGACCCTGGTCCAGGGTAAGGATCTACTGCAGCCTGCTGGCTCCACTCCCTGGGAGGTTTCGTTGCGAGCTCTGTAGTATAGAGCCTGCAGTGAAGATGGCTCCCCGGGCACAGGACTTGGCAGTCCCTTCTGGCCCTGTTCCTGGGGAGCCAGCGTGTAACCTATGGCTTTGGGGCTGGGCCAGGTCTACCATGGACATAAGTTGCTCTGGCCGGCTGGCTGGAGCAACCCCTGCCTGCAATGGGCCCCGCAGGGCTGGAGTAGCCTCCTGCCTGGAGCTGTTCCAACCCATACTGGATAAGCATTTACACGCCTCGTCAGAAACGAAATGCAGCTTCCCTTCCAAGAGAATCGTTTCAGATCCAATTAGCCACAGAGTCCGTCTCCGCTGCAGAGTTAACCTGGGCTCTTCGTGGTGGTTGTCTTTAACCAAGCTCCTCACCACGTACACAGACTTGTGCCCTGAGTTGGTGGTGCTTTCAGCCTGGGCTAGCCAGCTGGCTTGAGCTACAGGCTACACCATGAATTCTGCTTTTCCCTCTGGCTGGTAACCAGCCCACTTTGCACTCAGGAGACCTGTTAAATAAGGTGAGAGGTGGTGGTCCCCCTCCCTGCCCACACAAGTTCTTCCATGCTTTGTTAGGGAAGAATCCTGTCGGGGCTCAGCTTACTGAAGTATTGAGAACCAAAGAATGAAACATGGGAGAAGTACAAACCCACTCTGGCCCCTTATTTAAATATGGCTTTGGAGTGAGGCTACTCACATATGGGCTACGCTGACCCGGGTGACAATCACCTGCGTTAACTCTGCAGTAAAGACGTCCTTAGTGCAAGGAACAGCGCGCCTAGCAGAAGATTCAATGACTTGTTTCATTCTTCTGGCCCTGCATGTCTGGAATCTATAAGGCTGAGTTGTGATATGAGAAATCTTTGAAGCGCTACTTGTGTACCTAAAAGAACACTTTTTTTTTTTGTGGTGGTGGTGGACAGGCCACCCCTGCTAGTCACCTTGGGCGTAGTGGAAATTGGTGAGCAGGGAGCGACTGGGTGCTGGTCTTTGGGTCCCGGTGGGGAGATGCGCGAGCTAGTCTGCTCTCTCCCTGCTAGCTGGATGAGTGGGGTCTGCAGAGCTCCAGCTTGCCTACATAAAAGGCTTGAGTGGCTTTCTGAGGAAGAGGGAGCTCTGGAGAGAGAGCCGTGAAACCTGGATGAGCAAATGCCCTTTCTGTTTTGGCAAGTACAATCCTGCAGTGGGGCTGCTGGTATGAACGCAGGCAGAGAGCAAGAGTGAGGGGGGAAGGGGCTTATTTTTAAATGATCCCTGGTGGAGCAGTTGAGAGGGGATGATGTGAGGACCCTGCCTGCTTACAGGTTGTGTAGGTCAATGGAGGTGAGACAGGAAGCTTCTTATATAAGTGAAGCTAATT